TTCCTTTGGCTCCAAAATGAAGCTGCCACAGCTCTTTCTCAAACTACTTTGAGAATTAGAGAAATGTAAATGAGCTCTACAATTATATGATGTTGAAATGCCTCTCATATAAGCTCCTTCTTTCTGTTCCTTTTTCTGCTTTTTGATGATAAGCCCATACTTAAATTTGGCAAAACTGCTGGCATGAATGGCTACTACGTTCCCACAGAGATTCTGTTCCTCAACTGGAGGCAAACTACTCTGGTTCATGAGCCCCAGAACCAAGGCCAAAATCACTATTTCAGTCTTCTCATAAGATGCTTGATCTTCATGCAGTAAATTGCATACGATGTAAAGCCAGAAATAAAGAAAAAATTTAATTGGTAAACCCAGCCTAAACCACATTATCAGTCTTCAGCCATGGAATAAACCATGGGGATCACACAGAGATTTTTCATCAAAACTATCATCGCGGTTTGGTTACAGCCAGAGCCTTTGAAAAAGGCAAGACTAGTTCTTTTTATTAATGCTATCCCTTTAAAAAAACAATTACAGACATTTCTTAACCCCCGAACACTGGACACTAAGAATATAAGCCAAGGTAACAATAGATCCTTTTTTTCACTTCCCCCAAATATCTTTGTAGCTACAATCTGGAAGAGTATTCACTATTGGCAGAATGAAGTCTTTCATTGCTAGAGTGTGCATTTTTCAACTCTGGTAAATTGGGGAATGGGAGAGACCTGGATGGGGTCCCTGGCATAACTGTACTTTGTGGGAAGAAAAAGTGCTTGGATCAAGTAAAATGCGGTCAGTCAGAAGCTGACTTTGCCAGAGTAGGAAAAAATTCAGTGTTAAATGATATTCTGATCCCCATGGAGAATTTGAGATAAAGATTTTAGCTTCTGGAGGCATAAAAGAGGGCTGATGGGCCTCATGGCTGAGATTTTGATGTTTCCCTAACCTTGCAATAATTCCAGAGTTAAAGTGTATTTTTGTGGGCTCTTTTTGGTTTTGTTTGTTGTTGAGATATTTTGTCTATCCCTACAAAACAGACATAGGGCAGGGACAGATTGGTTAACTTGATCAACTTGGAGAGATCAAGTAATCAAGTACGTAATCAAAGTAATGGGAGAAAAAGAGAAGTGGCTTCAAATATTTGAATTGTAGTACTAGTTTAGCCAAGATTTAGGAATAAACTATAATCTTAGGAAAGTCGTTTGCCATCTCTGGCCTCAATTCTTCATCTGCAAAATTAAGAAAGTGAATTAAGTCAGTGATTTCCTATGTCTGTCTTCTAGAATGTTCATGAAGTTTATAAACATAAGATTTCTCATGGGCCATCCTGGGCCATTCTCAGTTGTCTAACTTCGATTCTAACCTTTTCTTTCCTCTTCAAAATGCATATGAGAATTCACGTGAGGAAGAGTACCTTTATTTTCCCACACACAAAAAAATCTTGAACTGATTCCATCAATGTGCAAAAAACCCACAAATCATTTCCAGATGTATTTACTTACTATTAGGTATAATACTAATTTGCTGGTAAAAATTTACTTGAAACTTTCCTCATTGTTGCCACACAACCATATGTGGTACAATTTATTATTTATTACTGAGTGACTAGGTAATTTCTAAGATACTTTAGATTATCAATATCCTAAAATCTGAAACTTCTCCTCAAACGAAAATTGAAGAATTCAGTGGAGGGCTAGCTTTATGCAGACCTACTATTAAAGGGCTGGAAACCTGAAACTGTTGAAAATCTGTGGCTTCTTTTACTTTAGCTAAATTTCTAAATTACTAAACATAAGAAACTAGGAGAAACATTTTACTGTTGGCCAAGGGAAACATCATGATTCCATACCATTCCAGATCCATTCCTTGTATGGTTTTCTGAAGTCAAATTAGGATACTTTTTTTAAGGCATTCATTTTAAGTTTTGACATAAAACGTGAGTGATCAAAGAGCACTGTTTCCTATCCTCTATGCAAGAGCATGGATGATCTGTAATCACTCTGTCTGTGTGTCCCCATGTGTATGGATGGGTACGTTTTGGATGAGGGAAACATAATGAGTTATGTGAGCCCTCCCAGAGTCTGGAATGAAATACCTGAAAACCAGTCACCTCTGGCTTCCATCCATAACCTGCACAGAATTGGGTGGCTTAGCTCAATATTCTCTGAAGAAATTTCTATTTGTGAGATGAAATTGAACAGCACTTACAAACTGGACTCTGATAAAGAGAGAGGTTTTTTAGTGTTTCTTTAAAACTCTAAGTAGCTTTCCCTAATAGGCCACAAATCATAGGGCACTCTCTCTTACCCAAACACAGCCAGGCTCTAGAGCCTTGTTTGTGAGATGGAAGCCTGTGAATTGGGTGTTTTGAGCAATCTTGGTGTCTGATTCTACTGATTTTTAAAAATTAAATTTGATCTAGGGGCCTATGTGGCTGCCTTAAGCCTTGCTTAAGCTGTTATTTTATCATGGCCACGACAACATGGCTGCTCACTTTGAAACTGTGCAAATCCCTGTTTTGTGCCACATATTTCCTATCACTTGCAAGTGGCAAACTCACATGGTATGTTGTGTAACAAGGGACCTTTCCCAAGAGAGATTGGAAAAGAGAATTTGAAACGCTGTGGAAGGCTGAAAATTAAAGTGTAACACAGGCAGAATTGACAGGGAGATTTTCTCTGTTGCTGGGGGGCTTATTAAATGTTGTGGGTCTTACTGGTGTTCGGTGTGTCTGATACAGTAGGAAAGAAAAAGACTCAGGCTGCATGAGAAGGCCATGGTGAAATCATGTCAACATTATCTCATTTTTCATAGAGCCTCGTGCTACTGAGATTTCACAACATGCATAAATTGAGACTGTCATCTTTTAAAACTGTAGGTGTACATTTGGGATGATTTACCTATGCTTTTGCCCCAGTTCCCATTCCCTGTGAGAGACGCAAGCCAGGATTTTCAGAAATTCATTTTCAGAAGTGACTACAGACAATAGAATACTAGTAAATATCAAAAAAAGCCCAACTATTTGGAAGAGGTTTTACTTTGCAAAATTTAACTTATAATTATTGTAAAAATGCATCCCTGTAATTTTCAAACAAGAGTTCAAGTTTGGGACCAGCATTGTAGCACAGTGGGTTAAGCCACTGCTTACAACACTGTCATCTCATATGAAAATGGTAGTTGAAGTCCCAGTTACTCTTCTTTGGTTCCCAGCACACTGCTAATGTGCCTAGGAAAGCAGCAGAAGATGGCCCAAGTACTTAGACCCCTGCCACCCACATGGGAGGCCTGGATGAAATTGTGGGCTCCTGGCAGATCTGACCCTTGTGGACATATTGGGGAGTGAACCAGAGAATGTAAGATCTTTCTGCCCACCCCTGTCACCCTGACTTTCAAAGAAATAAAAATAAAATCTTTAAATAAGAGTATAAGTTTAAATTCCAAGCTTTGGTTATTCATTCGGTTGATTATTTTCAACTCAGTGATGATTCTTTGTTAAAAACGATGGAATAAAATTTCACCACATCTTTATCTGATGTGACTCAGTGAGATGGAATAATAAAATAAATAATGAATATTATTTAGTTACATCACAAGTTTCACACACATTTTCTCATTAATTATCACTAGATTTTGACTTCATGTATCTTGTGATCTTATTTATCACTCTATCTCTAATGTCTTGCATAGGGCATGGCGCATAGTACATGCCCAATAAACATTTGCTGAATGAATGACCAAATCACTTTGTGATATAGGCAGAGCAGATATTATCCTTTTCCCCTTTTTATCAGTGAAGCGACATTAGAAGTTTACTTGCTCAAGGTCATACAACCAGCAAATGCTTGTACCAGGCCATGAACACAGTTCTTTGGACTCCAAAACCTGAGCTTTTTCAAAACTACTGGACTATGTACTCTGATTCTGGCATCAACTGGTAAACCCCAAAATCTCCCTGAGCTTCATTGACCTTCTCTGTAAAATAATAGAAGGCACTATTTCATGGCTGTGAGGTCTCCCCTAGGTTTGTGGGCTTACTCTACAATACATACAGTGTTATTCTGGCTTCTTAAAGCCTTATATTCACTTTAAAAAGTGGTGCTAATGGGGGAGTCCAGAGAACCTAGAGCACCAGGTGATCTAAGAAAGGGAAGCCATGGGCCCCTGTCACAGGTACACTTGCCAATACCGGAGAAAACTTCAGACTAGAAGGTTCTTCCCTTAGGAAGTGAGAGACATTGTTCTCAGGTTGGTTTCCCTTGTAAACAGTCTCTGAGGAAATGCATTTTTTTCAGACTGGTAACAGGTAACTACTCTAGAAACTTTCTAGCAATGTTGTCTGCACCTGATGGCCTTGCTCACTCAGCTGAGTCATCTCCCCATCCCCACCTCTTCCCCGCTGACACGCTCGATGCCTTCAATCCTGTGTTCAGTGGCTGGAAGCAGGATTAATCTTTTATCATGAATTTATTGAAGCAGTCTTCTTTACACATGCCATCGAGAATTTCAGGGATGGATTTTAAATTTGGATATTATAAAAACAAACGAAAATACTGCGATCCCCACCACATTTGTGACTCCTTTGCAATGCCTTTGTAAATATTTATCTAATTGTGATTTGGAGTCTGACTTTGTTTTAAAGAACTGATTAGTCCTGAGAGCGATACGTTGTTTTCCAGCAAACCCAAATATAAGCTGAAGGCCCCGTGTATATTAGTCCCTTTAATTTCCTCCAGCTGGTTGCTTGTTTAGAATGTACACAAATGGAAGATGTCAAGAACATTTAGTCATTATACCTGTTGTGGTTAGCTTTCCCCACAATGCACGACAAAATCTGATTACAGAAGGACTGAGAAATGAAAGCTCAGCTGGAATTAGAGACAGCTGTCTGAAGAGTAGAGCATGTACTGCAAAAGAAGCCTTTGTGGCTGCATTCCTCTACAGACTGTACTTTCATTTATCACTACAGTTCCCAAGACAGACCCAGATCTCTGGCCAGCACTTACCCAAAATTTCGCACCATGAAATTGTGAGCATTTCTAAGAGCTGTGTTGTTCAACAGGATCCTCAAATTAAACAGCATCTTCTTTGGATTGTGAAAAGGAAGATTCTATGTCTTGAAGACTCCACAGCAAGTTAGCCAGTGGAGGCCGCAGCTAAAAGCTAAGAATGCTTCTGATTGCAGTGAGGGATCAAAGGTAGTATCACCCTTCAACTACCTTATCAGATCCCCTGGTTAGAGATACTACCGGGCAGGGTGCAAGAGCATTTGAACTTTAAGCTAAGCTCTACCACTCTGAACTTTTTTTTTCTTTTGAAAAGGAACCCTGACTCTTTTGGTGCCCAACCTCCTCATTTTTCATAATATATTTATGCTGTCACATGCTTGTATAAAATCGGTTGACAAGTACTCACTGAGCATATAATATATGCAAGGCAGTGCAGTGCTGGCTTCTGTAGGGGTACATAGAAATAACTCATTCAGAAAATGTGAATTGGCAGTGCAAAACCCCAGGTATTCACATGACAGCCCTGAGTATTTCCATTGATTTCATCTTTCTACCTCAAAGTCTCAGTCTTTCTACAAAAACAAATGGAAAAAAATACCCTGGAAGCTTTTTTTTTTTTTTTTTGGAGGGGTGGTTGGCAGGGAGCTAAACAGGGGACAGAGGTATAGTAAAAAGATCTCAGCCCTGGAGTTCCCTCTGTGCCTTGTACATAGATCTTCAATAAATAAATCAATAGTTACCTACTGATTCTAGCAGAAGCCCACAGTCTGTAAACTCTGCAAAGATGAGATCATTTGCCTTCTCTGACCTTAAAGTCTACTTTGGTATCTGACAATGCATTGACTTTGAAAACATCCAATTTATAACTGTGGAGAAATAAATGAATGTGGAACTGAGGACGGTCCCTTAGTGATCTGGAGAGGCTGCTAGGGGAGAATCTTCACTGCTACTGACTGTGGGATCCTGATTCCTCAAAACTGGAAGGAGCTACAGAAGAAGAAAAGGAACCTTTGAGTAGACCCAGAGAAAGGAACAAATAGGGTGTGTAGCATAAGAACAAATGATTCAAAAGTGAAGAGATGGATCCACCCCATCATTGACCATTAAAACAAAGCCCCAGTCACCACCAAGGATGCTATGAAAACACAAAACCACAAATGTCTGTTATATCCCCTACGGCATTCGGTCTTCCCCTACATACTTGCTACTTAATGCAGGCACCCACAGCTGTCTTCCTGAGCATGAGTGCCCCACATTCCTCACCCTTCGTGTGGGCAACTATGAGGTACATTCTACACATTCCCTCAAAGGTCCCCTGTGGCACTGAACTTCAATTGTCCACAACAGTGACCTGCTTCTAAGCGTACCCTGTGTTAACTGGCTTCCCTTTTTAGTCTCACTTCTTCACTACCCTACCAGTGCTTCCTGGGATCACTTCCCAAATAAACTATTGAACCCAAACCCCCTTCTCAGTGTTGGCTTTTGTGGAAATGCAACCTTGCCCCTGGTCCACCTCCCAATGATTTTTCAACAAATCTGCTTCTTATTCTCTTTGCTTAGGCCCTCCTATCTTTGACTTTGTACCTGGGCTTTCAGTGTCAACAACGGCCTTGCCTACAATATCACACCCTTACACACAAGTTGAGGCCCCATTAGCTTGCAACTAGTGGTTTGCTGATAAATGTTTAATAAGCAGCTCATTGAAAAAAGAAAACCAGTTCTGAACTGTAGCATTGTCTGATTTTTGTGGTGTAAAACCTCTCACCACAGCCAACTTCAAGCACTAATGTGATATCATTGAACATGAAGTTGGGAAGACAGGTGTAAAATTGGTTCTTGTGAGCCACGGTGAGCTAGTTCACATATACCATTGCCCAGAAAGGAGGATTATCTCATGGATTGGGAAGGAATATTGAAGGCAAATTCCTGAGTATCTTGGAAGCCAGATTATGGAGCTAAGAATTTAATCTGTAATCAAAGGGAGATTATTAAAGTTTTGGAGCTGAGGCAGACAAGTAGACAATGTCACTATCTCTATTGTGTTTTTAAAACATTCATCTAGTGGTATCATGTAAGCCAAGTGGGAGGAAAATGGAGGCAGATAAACAAAGAGGTTATTGTGTGATAAAAAAAAAAAAAGACCCGAACCTATATCAGAGTTGCGGAGATAACTAAAAAGGGGGGGGATGAGTGCAAGAGAGATTTAGGGATTAAAATCCTCCCAATAGGACAACTGACGGAATGTTCAGGGAAGGGAGATGGACAACTTAGTGAAATCCTAGGATTTCAAGTTTACCCTACAATTCCAAATAGTTAAAATGTTACCAGTGAGGATTAAACATGACAATAGGTCTGATCTGATTTCATCATCATTTAAAAAATCATCTATTATTTTTCACTTTATGTATCTGTGTGAGAGCAAACTGTTGAAATCCTTACTTAATGTATACTAACCTGATCTTCTGTATATTAAGATAATCGAAAATGAATCTTGATGTGAATGGAAGGGGAGAGGGAGTGGGAAAGGGGAGGGTAGTGGGTGGGAGGGACGGTATGTGGGGGAAGCCATTGTAATCCATAAATCGTACTTTGGAAATTTATATTCATTAAATAAAAGTTAAAAAAAAATTCTAAAAAAAAAAAAATTCTAAAAAAAAAAAAAATGTTACCAGTGAGGATTTAAAGAGTGTTGGTTTCCTGACATACACAGCTTTGTAAGTATCATGTATGAACTTGAAATATTTCTTTGAAATTGCCACTGTGCTTCTCTAGAGAAACTCAAGCCTCAAAGAGGGAATCAATGTGATGTAAAGGTAATAATGATGAAACTGATGTGTGATAACCAAAATAGACCTATGGCTCACTCATTGACAAATGGTGAATTTGACTAAGTCAGACCTGAGACCCTCAGAACCCTCATTGGTCCAATGAAAGGTTTTAATAAAATTAACTATTGGCGGGCGCCGCAGCTCACTAGGCTAATCCTCCGCCTGCGGCGCCAGCACCCTAGGTTCTAGTCCTGGTCGGAGCACTAGTTCTGTCCTGGTTGCTCCTCTTCCAGTCCAGCTCTCTGCTGTGGCCCAGGAAGGCAGTGGAGGATGGCCCAAGTGCTTGGGCCCTGCACCCACATGGGAGACCAGGAGGAAGCACCTGGCTCCTGGCTTTGGATCAGCGCTGTGTGCCGGCCATGGCAGCCATTTGGGGGGTGAACCAATGGAAGGAAGACCTTTCTCTCTGTCTCTCTCTCTCTCTCACTGTCTAACTCTGCCTGTCAAAAAAAATTTATCTATTACAGTGCTTGGTAAATTTTAACATGCTAATCAAACATGAGGTACAGCGTTTAACAGCCTGAGCATAGCTACTGTCAATAAAAAAAAAAAAACTATTGCAAATTTGAGCTTTACACAAACAAGGCATATGGCTGTTACCGCAATGAGAAGCTCTGATTTATTTTAGAGTGTTACTAATTACATAAATAATTTGTGTAGCCACTTGTCTGGAATCTTGAAGAGCCTGAGAAACTACAGAATTTGCATGCAAGTACAGATGTTGGGTGAATCTTCCCAGTTCTAAAGGACTGACGCTGGTGATCTATTATCCACTTGATAAGAACAAAGAAGCTTGTAACCCTATCTGAGACCAGTAAGCCATCCTGTAACCAGGAGGGGAAATAGTCTTAGAATGAAGCTGTTATTGGTAGAGTGAAAGAAGGATTTATCACTGATTTGCAAAACCAACCAACCTCATTATGCTCCCTACCACTGACACCTTTATGTAAAATAACAAATGCCATTTTTGTTTAAATCACTCTGAATTGGAGCTTTTGTTACTGGAGGCCAAATGCATGTTAATACACAATTTAGCTTAGGTTTTTGACAGTATATAACAGCAAGGGGAGGAAAAATCCTTCAAAGATGTGAGTTCTAGTTCAGAACCTATTGTCTATTTATTGTACTTGATATTTTTGTCATTTAAAAAATTTCAAGTTAGCACAGCATAAACTTAACCATTTTGATATACAGTACTGACTGTAACGCATGTATAGATATCTGTAAACACCACCGCAATCAAGAAAAAGAACAATCCCATCACCCCAGAAAACTCCTATTTTAAATCCCATTGTAATCATACCCTCTTTTATCCCTAATCCTTGGTATAATGATCTTTTCTCTCTCTCCTACAGTTTTGCCTTTTCCAGAATGTAAAATAGATGTATGTAATTTTTTGAAATGGGTTTCTTTCAATGAGTATAAAGGCTTTGAGATTTATCCATATTGTGTGTATTACTAGTTTATTCCCTTTTATTGCTGAGTAGTATCCCTTTGTTTGGATATATCAACTTATTTATGCATTCTTTCATTAAAGGACATTTGGATTGTTTCCCAATTGCGGAGATTATAGAGCTGCCACAAGGTTTTGTGTGTAAATTCTTCTTCTTCTTCTTCTTCTTATTATTATTATTTTGGAAAAGCAGACAGGGGTTGGAGTGGGGGGGCAAGAAAGAGAGAGAAAGGGAGAGAGAAAGGGAGAGAGAGAGAGAGAGGGAGAGAGGGAGAGAGAGAGAGAATGAAACATCCCTCCATTGATTTGGGCCAGGCCGAAGGCTGGGAGCCAGGAACTCCATGCAGGTCTCCTATGAGGGTTACAAGGTCTTAAGTACTCCAGCCATCACCATTGTCTCCCAGGGTATGCATTAGCAGGAAGCTAGAATTAGGGCCCAAATCCAGACACTCCAATATAGGATGCAGGTTTCTAAAGTGGCATCTCACCTGATTCCCAGTATATAGATTTTTGTGTGAACATAAATTTTATTATCCTTTTTAAATATGTATTTTATTTATTTGAAAAGCACAGTGACAGAAAGAGTGGGAGAGACAGGGAAACAGAGAGAATGAGAGAGACAGAGAGAGAGATTGATCTTCCATCAACTAGTTTGCTTCTCAAATGGCCACATTGACCAGAGCTGGTCCATGCTTAAGCTAGGTGCCTGGAACCACATCTCCCATGGGGATAGCAGAGGTCCAAAGCACTTTAGAATTCATCTGCTACCTTCCCAGACACATTAGCAGGAAGTTGGATTGGAAACAGAGCAGCCAGGACTTGAACTGCTGCTCCCATATGGGATGCCAGCATTGAAAGTGATTTAATCTATTGTGTCACAATGCTGACACCAGTTTTATTTATCTATTTATTTACATATCTTGGAGTAGAATGGCTATGTCAAATCGTAGCAATGTGCTTAACT